TGTAATTTGAAGCCCTACTATATAATAAATATTACTAACGAACACCTAGAAATAACACTGAAAAAATACAAGTAAGGCAATTATATTCCATCTTTGTGATAAATAATGAAGACTTCCCTCCTAACATATATTGGGAGAGAAAAAAAATCTAATAGAAAAGAATGTTCTCTAGGCCTATAAGATTGGTCTCATTAGAAGTGAGTACAATTACTCTTCACAGTATTCTGTTAGTAGGCCTGTTTGGTTAGTTTGTTTTCTTTTCTTAAATTACTTATTTCTGTGATTATGCCAGGCCACAGTGCCCCATTGCATGCTATACCATTTCTGTTGCTGAATTACATAAGAAATCTTGGTATTTTCCCTGCAACCTTGTACCTAGTAATGCATCATCTTGAGCTTCTTCTCTTCTTCCTGGCCTCCCCCTTCCTCTTTCCAGATGCTGTTGTTTAGTGAACATTACATGTATGCCTTCAGAAGCTTGCTGGCTAATTTCAGCAAGTGGAAAACAAAAAAAGTTAGTTAGAAATCAAGTAATGAATTAAAAAGGCAATCATTGGAGCTTTATTTCTTTAATATAAAAAGAACTTTTTCTAAACATTTTGTTTCTCTTGATTGAGATTTGTATGTTTTTTCACAAAAGAATGCTCTTTGTTCCATTGGTTTTGGGCTTGGGGTGTTTTCTTTTTGCTTTTGGGGGTTTCTTTGTACTGATGGTGATTGAACCCAGAGACTCGTGCAAACTAGGCAAGTGCCAGCCCAAGAATGTTTCTTGATACCTCTTCTCCTTTCACAGGAAATGTCTCCACACTGTGTTCCTATGGTACTCAACCCACATGGGTAGCTGTTTGGTTTTTTTTTCCAGATGTTATTCAGATCAAGTACTGACTTGTCTCACACAGAAACCACAAGTTTTAATTTTTCCTAAATTGAAACAAAACCTTCTTCTCCCCATCTTAGCAGCCATTTCCTGACAAATTTACTGGTTTATGATCTTTCTGTTTCATACATTTGACTGTCTTTTTAAAAAATATTTTTTAGTTGTAAGTGGATACAATACCTTTATTTATTTATCTTTATGTGGTGCTGAGGATTGAAATAATGGCTTGAAATAATCTGGTTGCAATTTGAAGTGCCTCACACATGCTAGGCGAGTGTGCTCTACCACTGAGCCACAACCCCAGCCCAACATTGGACTCTTAATTGTCATTAATTGAACAAACTGGCCAGTGTGACCTGTATCTATCATGAAGTCATTTTTGCTAGGGGTCTACTGTCTACAGGGCCATCTTAAATCCATGAGCAGAACCCTTCCATCTATAACTAAGGGCTCTTTTCTGTCACTGGTGGGAATTTTAATATATTTTAAAATTAAAATATATTTAAATTTTTCATTTTAATATACACAGGAATTTCCATAGCTTGGGCTAGATTCATCCTGGTAGTTGTATCTAATAGTGGCACCAAATCCTAGAACCAGCCCCAATTCAATGATTGGGGCACTGACTCAAAATACCGTCTTCAGAGATTTTGGCACCTGTCAAAACCTCTCCAGGGAAGGTTTTCTGGAAATTCTAAGACCCTATAAAAATGTGGAGAACTCAACACTAGAACATCTGTGGCACAGCAGTTAAGACTAGATTTGACAGTCTGTTCAGACCATGGTCATGCCTCTTCCTGTTGTACACTGCTTAACCTTTATGTGTCTATTTCCTCATGGACTGATTATTCTCCAGTTGCCCCCATTGGAGCCACATGGGAATTGACACCTGAAGCCTATATGACCTAGATTGATTCCCTTGACCTCAGGCTTCCAGTTGTTTCCTTTATGGGAAATGGGAAGGAAGTGGGAGGAGAGAGCAGTTGGAGTGTTTGCTGTCCCTACACCCCACTGAACTTCAGTTGTTCACACCTCACCTGCTGCCCTGCCCTGCACCAATGGGGCCCCAGACACACCTCTCTATGATCTGAGGCTTCTGAGAGCAGCTCTTCCTAGAACAATTCTTCACCTGGCTCCAGTTGTGCCATTTTCTTCACTTGCCCTTCTGCCTCAGGATGGGAACAGCTGTCTACTGCTGCTAGTTTTCTGATAACTTCCGCATCCCTGATTGATTTGCTTAAATCTGCCTCTGTGTCTGTAAACAGTTCTTTCCTTCTGTACATGTGTCCTGTTTCTGCTGCAACCTTGATGAACATACCTCACAGGACTGTAGCTAGGACTAATAAATACAGACATGTATCACGACAGCACAGGGTACGGGCTAAATGCTGTGTAAAGATTAGTCACTGTCATCACAAGGTGGTCCTGTCTGCTTTCCTATCAGTTCTAGAAGACATACACTGAGATTGCCAAAAATAGATAGGGGCCCTATTTCAAGGAAGTCTCAGAGTTTCTGGAGGCCTCTACCAAGCTCCCTCTGTGAAGGTATTTGTGAAGGCTGGGATGGGAAAGCCAGAGTGACATGGGAGAGTCACCATGGGTTGGGGCAGCGGGGAGCGGAGGAAGCATCAGGTCTCTCAGTATGTCAACAGGCAAGGACTGAAGGACACAGTCCCTCTGGAGAGGTTTGGGCTGCAGGACCTGAAAGAAGAGTCTTTGGTGGACAGGATACCTAAAGGGTGTGGCAGAGTGCAGGAGAGAATGGGACACCCAGGACAAATTTCTTTCCAATACTTGGCCTAGAGCCTACAGGGCTGTTGTCCAAATTCTGAAGACCAGGTGAACCCAGTGTTTGGGACTAACAGGATCTTATCTGAGAATGCCAGCTGGCTGAGTTCACACTCTCATATTTATACTGGTGGAAGCTGGTTCAGGTGGGAATGAAGACTGTTCCTCATGAACAGGGCTGAAGGCATAAACAGAACATCAGAGGACATGTATAGCAGTGGTTGGCAGTAGAGCCTCTCAGGACCTGACAGGACTCAAAGCAGCTTCACCAGTTCCTAGCTGGGTGGCACTGGGAAAGTCACTCAGACTTTCTAAGCCTCATATGTTTAGTCTGTAAATATGATGCTAATAATAGAGCCTATATTTAGAGTGGTTACAAGAAATAAGGAAATTCAGGTGTAGTGCGTCATACAGTGACTGACCTTTAGAAAGCACTCAAAACTATTCTCCTAATCCTCATACAAACTGTGGTCTCCATCACAGTTCTTAACAGTCAGGCTGGCAAGAATCTTGCAGACACAAGTTAATGAAAGGGTAACGAGTCTTGTGAGAATATTGTACAATAAATAGGGTTGTGCTGTAAGTAGATGTGTTAATCAACCAGCTTATTCTTTCTTTTTCTTGCAAATCCAGACCCAAGAAAATTGCAATCACTGTCTAAACTACAGGGTGCCTATGCTCTTTAGCTCAGTAGTATAGTTTAAAAGTTGGTTCTGAGTAGGTACAGTGGCACATGCCTGTAATCTCAGCACCTTGGGAGGCTGAGGCAGGAGGATTGCAAATTCGAGATCAGCCTCACCAATTTAGTGAGCCCCTTAACAACATAGCAAAAGCCTGTCTCGAAATTAAAAAAAAAAAAGTTAAAAGGACTGGGGATATAGCTCAATGGTAAAGCACCCCTGGGTTCAATCTCTAGTACCAAAATAAATAAATAAATAAATAGAAGTTAGGTTATGGAATCAATCCTGTTGAGACTCAAGTCCCAGCACTGCCAGAAAAGAGCTCCTTGACCTGGGGGCAACTTACTTTATCTTCTGGAGCTCTGTTCATCTCTCATTTGTAAAATGGAAAAAATAATCATTTCTGCCTCATAGGATAGTTATGAATATTAAGGGAGATGATCGAGACAAACCTCTTAGCGAATGTTGGTTCTCACTGGTAGTCCACTTCCAACAGAAGGAAATTGTAAGAGTTTGATTGTTAAATAAAATACATGTCCCAAGAACATTTGAGAACTTTCACAATAAAACATTCTGCCATATTGTGGAGAAAGAGGATTGACGGGAAGAGATCATGGGGAAATTGTCAAGATGGCAAAAATGTTAAATCCTTGTTTGGAGTAATGGGTGTATAGAATTGTCAAAGTTCGTGGAACACTGCAGATTTGTACTGTATTTGTGAAAATTATCCCTCAAAGGAAGAAAACAGCAGTTACAAATTTTACTCTTGATCTAGGAGTTTATCTCATCCTATTCCCTGTATTAAGCTTGGAAAACATCATTGGTAGCATTGATTCAGAGAAGCAATGATGTTGGACTGTCATTCACAGAGTGCACAATTAAAGGTTCCTTATCATTAAAGGTACAGCTTCTGCTCAAAACCCATTCATCAGAAACTAGTAAGAGACACGGGGAGGCCTTGGTCCTAAGTATCATTTCATCAGGTCTATGGGAATAGTGAATCCAGAGCTTATCTTCACTGATCTTACTTAGGGTGTTTCTATAAACAACGAGGTGAATGACTAGGCTAGAGACACACCCACCCAATGACTGACTTGTATATATCACTAACAGTGGCAGTAGTCTTGCTACAGAAGATTAAAGCATTCATACCTGATGAAGGGAAGGATGAACCTGATAGTGAATGGATGATTGAATGGACAAACAAACATTTACTTAATGGCCATCACACATCCCCTTAATTAAATGTAATTCTCACAGGAAGCTTATGGAGGGGCTGGGGATATGGCTCAGTGGTAGAGTGCATGCCTAGCATTCATGAGGCCTTGGGTTTGATCCTCAGCACTACAAAAGCAAAACAACAACAAAAAATTTATGGAGCAAATGTCATTTTCCCCACCTAATAAATTAGAAAGGATCTCCTTAGAAGCAATTAGCCTAGTCATAGCAGAAATAGACTCCCACGTCATCTGAGCATATTCTGAATAATTTCCATTTGTTGCAAGTCATTCTTTTTTTTCTTAAGAGCTCCTATGGAACTGGGATGTGACTCAGTAGGTAGAGTTCTTGCTTAGCATGCATGTGGCCCTGGTTTGATGTGGGGGTTTGATCCCCACTAGTATCAAAAAGAAAAAAGAAAAAGAAAAGAAAGAAAGAAAATCTCCTGTGTATTTTATTAGAGCTTGTATGTTACAGTTAGGATACATAGAAAGATTCCGTCTTTATTCCAAATGCTATCCCAGCCACCTTCACTAGGGAACTGATTAATAGAAAATTATTAGGTAGGATAAACTTTCAAAGTATTAGTCAATGTTTTCCTGCAATATTTTCCTCTTACTTCTCCATTCTTATCATCTTTCAAAAACAGCAGGGAGGCTATTCTGAGTTCCATTACCCCCAAGCAAGGGAGCTTAACAGAAAATAGAGAAAAAAATGAACTTCTTTTGACTTTTGGGTCTGCAAAATCTAGGCTCCAAAGATATTGGGAAAGCTGTAAGACATAAATAAGATTTTTAAATCTACTTGATAATGTAGAGGAAAAATGCCCATTCACCATTACACAAGGATTTCAGTGGTGGTTGGGGGGCAAAAAGAGGCAAGTTAGAAAGAAGTCAGGAGAACACAAATACTAACATGACTCCTCGGGAGGGTCCACTCCTTCCTTCTCCCTCGAGAATTCAAGTGTGTGGGAAGGACTGAGATACAAACAGTGGCTCCCACATCAAAGGGATGGAACAAGAATATCCCAGAAGATAAATTACCATGCAGAAGACAGATATTGAGGGTGTGGGCCCCATGGATGACCTTCACATTGAGTAACAGCATGGACAACAGACTAGCAGAGATCAGACTCAAACCCCACACCTCAGTCCCCACCTCTTGCCACTGGGAACATACTCTAGAAATTAGGTACAATCCTGGGAAGGGTGAGAGGAAATCCCCAAACTGACAGAGATTAATTTTGGCTACATTGAAGGAATGGGGGCAAAAACAGAAATTAGGTGCAATTATAGAAAAACAAACAGATTTCTTGCCCAGTTGCACAGAGGTGTTCTGACGTTTGCCTATTGGCATTCATAATGCAGTAGTTATTTCTATAGCAGATCTCCTACTTCAGATATAACAGCATGAGAAGGGAACCATATGTTAAGCTTACGAATAGAAATCTAGAGAAAAATTCATTAAGGACAAAATGAAATGTCCCTTTTGACTTGGCCTCTGCTTTTCTTGCCATCATATTCACTGAGTTTGTCCTATCTGTGTGTGACACCCCAAGTTTACTTTTGTTGAAAATTCCTTTACCTATTCCTTCCAAGTTATGTGCCTTCTGCTTGTATCCTTCAGAGTCTCTGATCATATTAAGTTTTTGTCCTGGGACTTGTTTATTTCAAAACAAGAGTTTTAAGAAGAGGGTTCATTTATTGGTTGAGTCTTTTGCGAAAGTCCTCTTGTCCAGCAGGAGTTTAATAATTTTTTTCTTGGCTGCTGTGTGTGCACCACATGCCGCAGAAGCTCCTTTGTTCCCACTTATATAGTTTCTGGTCTCCTATGCATCACCTGTCAGTGAATGACCCAGGCATGACCACTCTAGAAGAAGCAAAAACAAATTGTGATGATAGAGGTGAACACTAAGCCAAACTCTTTAAAGAAATGTTGTCACTTGAACCACTGGAAACCATTATGGCCCAGTCCAACAGTTGTTGCTCCATCTCTTTGACATATGTTGTCAAGCAAAAAGGTAAAGGGACCAAGGACAAGTCTTGTTTATAAAAGCAGGGAAAACCAGCCCCAGAAAAAGGAGATGGAGGAACTGGAGATGCAGCTCAGTGGTAGGGAATACGATTCAGATGTGGAGGCTCAGGTTTCAATCTCCAGCAAGAAGGAGGAGAAAACAAAAGGAGAATGGGAGATGGGGAGAGGAAAAGAGAGAGGAAGTAGAAGGGAAAGGGGAAAGGGGAAGGAAAGAAAGAGAAATTAGTGAATGAATAAATAGGGAATGGATTAGGAGAGGAGAGTAAGTAATGACAATTGCTAGAAAAAGAATTACTATAAATGAGTGGAAGAAAACTGCACATAGGTCAGATCAGACTCCACTCCATTGACAATGGGCCTGAGAAAGCAATCACCTTAAGAAATGTTGTAACAATTCCATATGTGTAGGTCAAAAAAGTTAGGAACACGTGGGCCTAAATTCCTTCCCACAAACTCAAAATTATATCGCCACTTAAAGGTTCTAAGACGGACTGCACCAAATAAACCTATATTACTTTAAGCCAGAGTTTTCAAATTTATTTGAATACAATACACTTTCTTGCCTTTCTGTTAACACCCTGAGCAACAAGTTTTACCATACACCAGTTTGTGAACTGCAGATAAACACTTTTTTCTTTTTTCTTCTTTTCTTAAATTTACTGATTTTTCCAATATTTGGATTTTTATTTTTATCTTCATAAGTTTATTTCAATAAGAGACCCTAATGATCACAATTATTTTTTAAATGTTAAGAGTTCTTAGGGGATGCCTGTAACAGGAATGAACGTGGAAGCAGAGGCTGAAGAAGATCATTCAGGGCAGTGGAAGATCCCAGAGAGCAGAGGCGCCGGGTAGAAAATTAGGTGACAGCTGAAGTAATTCCTGGACTCAAAAAAAGGGAAAGACTGGGGCTGGGATTGTGGCTCAGCGGTAGAGTGCTCGACTAGCTGGAGCGGGATCCGGGCTCGATTCTCAGAACCACATAAAAATAAAGACATTGTGTTATGTCCATCTACACCTAAAAATAAATAAATAAATATTTTTTTAAAAAAGTGAAAGACAAAGGCATGTGTCTTGGGGTACAGGGACTCTGGTATTATTTTTTAACTTAGGTTAAGGGACTCAGAGAAAAGTACTTTGCAATACCACCTAGATCCACTTTCTACATTATCAGAGTAGAAGGTCACAGATACACTGTGATCTGAGAAATAATCAAAAATGTTGAATACTCTTTTAATTGATCTAATTTTGAAATTATCATATTGCTCAGCCTTACATGTTAAATTTTTACCTGTTTCATAGTAAGAATTCAAAAAATGTTTATTTAGTTTATGCTATAGTCTATACTAGTCTATACATAGATATGTCATAGGATATAAAATAAATTATTTTGTTTTGACTTTGGTGCTAGGGATTGGACCTAGGGCCTCATGCATGCTATCTGCCACTGAACTATTCCTCCAATCCCTGTATATATTGCTTTTTAACTTAGGCTGCTTCTTAGTACTAGTTTCATCTGTAAAGTTTATATCTACAACTGCTTTATTTTAATATTTGAGGTTGTTGGGAATTGTTTTGTTTTTGCCAAACACCTCCCTGGCAGCAAACAGATTGAAAGCATCCGCTCTGGCATGAGACACACCGGTTCCATTCTGGCTCTGCCACTCATTAAGCGATGTGAATTGGTCAAGGTGCTTAGCTTCTCTGAGTTTCTCTTTCTTCACTCATAAAGTTGGGATAATAATAGTTCTAATTCATAGGACTGTCAGCAGGATTACGTGACGATACAAGTGAAGTTCTTGCATAATGGCTGGCATGTACTCAATAATTAATAGACATCAGCAGAATCCTACAAACTAATGACTGGGACGGAAGTCGAGATGAGGGAAAGACAAAAATATGAAGCAAAGGAATAGGGTGATGAGAGTTGGAAGTTGGAGAAACTGAAACTTTTCTAGGTTTAATCAAGAAAGAACTGGTGAGGTGCTAGAAAGACTCTGTGGGAGACAGACCTTCCAAATATAAGTTTGATGCTTGTGGTTTATATATTTATTCAGTGCCTTCTCTGTGCAAGGGACTGTTTAGGTTCTGGGGAAATCACACTTAACAGGAGAGTTTTCATTCTAGTGTAGGAGAAAAATGATACATAAGAAAAGAAGTTTTAAAAAGATAAAACTGCTCACAGTAACAAGAGCTATGTATGGATTAAAAGAGGACAAAGTGATAAAGTTGGTGGTGATGTTTTACATAGGAGTCAAAACATGGGCCTAAGCGATGTGAAGAAGCAAAACATATAACATCTGGGAGAACCATATACCAACCACAGGCAGCTGCTGGTGTAATAGTGTGTGTTCCAACATGAAGACCAGTGTGTCTGGAGTGAAGGGAGGGTGGTAAGAGATGAAGTCTTAAGGGAAATAAGGGACAAATCATGGAGGGACTAGTAAGTCCTAGTAAGAAATTTTCTAAATGTGGTGAAATACTGAAAGATTCTTCCCCAACCTTCTTGCCTCCCTCATCTATCCATTACAAGGTAGTTGAATGTTGTGGTCTGATTTATATTTTTAAAATATCATGGTTGATGTTTTAAGAATAGACTGTTGTTGAGGAGGGATAATGAAAGTAAAAAAAAAATTATGAGGCTATTTCAGTAGTCCTAAAAATAGATAATAATGCTTTGGACTATGATAGTAATGTTAAAATATGCTTGGATGAGAAATATACTAAAACTTTCAAATTAAGCCAATATGATTTGTTTGTAAGGTATGAGGCAAAGGAAAGGGTCAGGTTTGATTCCTGTGTAGCATATAGTTACCTGGAATCTTAGATGAATGGATAAAATATACCTGAGGGTAGATTTAAAAGCTGGAGTTGGCTAACCTGGAGACCAAACAGGTAAATAAAAAGACACTTGAATGATTTTTTTTTAACATTATAAAGGGAAACTATAGCTGGACATAATGGTGCATGCTTATAATCTCAGTGCTTGAGAAGCTGAGGTAGGAGGATCACAAATTCAAGGCTAGCCTTTTCATGGTGAGACTTTGTCTCAAAATGAAAAATAAATAAAAGAACTGGAGGCCTGGTGTGGTGTGCATGCCTGTAATCCCAGCGACTCAGGAGATCCAGGCAAGAGGAACAGGAGTTCAAAGCGAGTCCCTAAGCAACTCATGGAAACCCTGTCTTTAAGTAATACATTAAAAAGGACTGGGGATGTAGCTCAGTGGTAAAGCACCCCTGGATTCAATCCCTAATACCCCTAAATAAATAAATAAATAAATGCGGGGGGGCTGTTTTGGAATGAACAATAAAAAAAATTCTGTTTAATAAATTTGTTAATCTACTTAACAAAGATCCACATGGAGCATGAAATTGGTTTTGATTTACAAGCTTCATGAAAAGCCAAGATCCTCAAATTAATACTGAAAGCCAGATCCTATTTTCTTACCCAAATGAAGAGTTCAAAATGTACCCACCTGACTATAGTCAGTTAGGTCCCCCTGCTGGTGACTAGGAAACTTACCTCTTGATATAGTATGCTAACTGATAGGTACTAATGTTGCTCTGAGCCAAATGTACGGTGTAAGCTAAATTGGCTCCTTTCGTGTTTCATCCCTCCGTCCTCCTGATGTCTACCTCACTTTCACCAAGACCAACTATCACCAGATTCCATGCAACATACTAGCTACAAGATATATCCCAACAAATAGGACTTTTTTTCCTGAGACTCATCAAAACATACTTTCTTTTGTGTCCTACTCTCCACCATAACTTCTTTTTTTTTTATTGGTTGTTCACAACAAAGCTCTTGACATATCATATTTCATACATTAGATTGACACAACTTCTTTGTGCCTGACAATATGAGTCAAAGAATAGGTACTTACCTCTCTAAAATAATGTAATGTTTTTAACTAAAATTTTTCCTCATAAAGAGAGAAAAGTATAAAAATTTCAGATGGAACTAATGGTAAGGAAGGAAGAATACTATTAAAAATAATAAGAAAAAAATTCCCAAAAGATTCTCATCACATCAGGCTGTCCTTGGTAAGCTTTATGCCTTCAATATTCCCTACTTAAAACTAGGCTTTCCACTGCCACACCCTCCCAGTCCCCTCAGATGAGTGGTGGTTGTCCACAACTTCTGATCTAGGGGAAACAATGCATGGTGAGTGGGCCACGTAGCCAGGGCCCTAAGGAAATTGGGCCAGCTTTCAGGTTTCCCAGGCAAGGTGCATAAATCAGGCCTCCAGTACATACAATAGAGGTCAGGTCAAAACTCATTTCCTGGAACTGTCACCATGGAGAAAACTACTAAAATACTTAACTACCAAACTCCATTTTTATGCATGGTCTCAAGAAAAAAAGCTCAAAGAAGCTGTGCTTGGTGACACATCTGTAATTCTAACTACTCAAAAGGCTGAGGCAGGAAGATCTCAAGTTGGAGGCTAGCCTCAACATATTAGCAAGACACTGTCTCAAAATAAAAAAAATAAAAAGCACTAGCCAGAGATATAGCTCAGAGGTAGATTGCCCCTAGGTTCAATCCCCCAATTGGATGGGTTGGGGAGAGGTAAGCACAGAAAAGCAGCCCTACAACAACTCATTAGGAAGAGGTCCTGCTGGTACAGGGTGCCAGCATGTGGGTGTGACTCACTCAGGGCATTTGCTGAACCTTGACACTCCAACAAGAGCCTCAGCTTCATTTAACTATTATTCCTGGGGAAAAAAAAACATACACACATTTTAATGCCAGCAACATTCCTGTTCATCCATTAACCTGTGTGTTGATGGGCTTTGTTAGTCTGTAATGTCTGACTTGCTTACATGGCTGATTATCAGGGGGTATGCTCAGAGTTCACAATAAAGATGTCCAGAATTTTACATAAAGATTTAATTTGAAAAATAAGGCATTTTGTGATCATGAAACAAAAAACACAAAAATTTGATTTCTCAATTTCAAATAAAAAATGTTCTTCACTTCCTTTTCCTATTCTTCTTGTCTAAGAGTTCACCTGTCAGGAAGATGTACCAATGTATCATTTATTACATCGCTTATCTTGGTATAATGTATTTAAAACCTCTCTGAAAGGTAAGTTGAATAGTTATTACATTTTGGGGGGTTAGGGGTACTGGGGATTGAACCCAAGGGCACTTAACCACTGAGCCACATCCTCAGTGTTTTAATTAATTAATTAATTAATTTTGAGACAGGGCCTCGCTAAGTTGTCGAGGCTGGCTTTGAATTTGTGATCCTCCTGCCTCAGCCTCCTGAGCTGCTGAGATTACAAGCGTGTATCACCACGCTGGCCAGTTATAACATTTTCATCATCCCTTTCTACCTTTCCCACCCCAACCTCCCTCATCGTCTATATCTTTTTCATTCTTTAGAAATTGTTTCTAGCATATTATTTCAGGTGCTCTGTTAGAATGTATATTAGAATTTTGACAAAAAAAGCTCAGTGGCAGCCAGGAGTCCTTTCAGTGGGGTGAACATGGTGATGGTTTGGGTAGCAGCTTCTACCACCCCATACTGACAATCATTAAAGTCTAATAAAAGAATTGCCTCTTGTCTATGCCCTTTTCTACCAGCAGATGATGAGCTGTGCAAGCGGCATGGGATTTGTCTTGTTCACTGCTGAATCCTACTGGTTAGAATGATGCCAGACCATAGTCGGCATTCAATAAATATTTTTAAAATTATTACATAAGATCATTCTTATGATCTTTCACTTAGACATCCTGAACTACTCAGCTCCACAGTGCAGCCAGCACGCTGGTTTCATACAAGAGGGTCGTAGCAAAGAAGTTAACTAGTGAGGTCAAAATAAACAACACAGACTCAATTACCTTTTTCTATGACCAGGTCTGAGACAGCCCCCCTTCTAGCTCTCGTCTCGAACCACCCGGTGGGGCAGCAAGGCTTACTCAGGACTAGCAGGAGAGAGAGAGAGAACATTCCAGGGAGTGGCCTTTTATTGGGGAACAAGAAATTCAGGGAAAAATTCCATCCAATGAATGTCGAGGGGGGCAGCATTCCAAGGTTAGTGTCAGTGATTGGTCTCAGGTTCAATGGTCAGTCACACCCCCACACAGACAGGCTCTCGAAGAACCTGGAGAGGGTGGGGATAGCTCTGAAACAGTTTGGCCAGAACGCCTCACACCCAATCAGGGAGGTGCCCAGTCACGTGCGGGAATGGCTCCCCACACTCAGCCATCTCTTTTTGGCCAGCATTCTAAATGACCTACTTGAATAGGGCTTGTGAGGAAAGGGGATGGTCTAATCACTGATCATGAGCTAGTCTCTGAATAGTGAGGACCCACGTTCAGCTAACTGCTTTCCCAGAGATCATGGGAGTTTCTATTAGCAGCTTAGAGTAAGCTAAAGATGCACAATAGCATTTATTTTTTTTAAGGTGGAAGAAATATTGGTTCCATGTGGACTATAGGAAGCAAAAACTGAGAATGTTTTCCTTCTTTTTGTTGGTTTAGTCCAGGAACTTGCACTACAGCAGGCTTCATTGTGTCCATAGAGCAATACAATCATTTGCTTTTTTCTAGGAACATTGTGTTTTCATCATCTTGTTGTTGGCATTCCGTGTAGTTTGTTCACATGAACTTCCAAAGCCAACAATTTTTCAGAAATGTTCTCAAGAAACAATACCTGTCTTGATCTCAGAATAACTGAGCAAATCAGAAAGGCAAGAAAGAATATTTTTTCTGGGTGTCAGCACAGCACACCAGCTGTATTCATCAGTGGGAGGTTATATTTTCCTATCCAATATCAAGTGCTAGCCACACCTAGAGTACATCAAGTTAAATCAGTATAAATTGTTTATAAACATAAAGTTACTGGGAGTGACTTCATCCAAGACTTTTTTTTTTTGGTACCAGAGATTGAACTCAGGGGCACTTGACTCCCGCCACGTTCTGCGTGGGCGTGGAAGTGAAGATTCCTCTGGGTGGAGTGGGCTGGCTACAGAATAAAAGCTAAGAAAGAGAAAATGGTGAAAGTAATTTTTAAAAGCGGGGACAGAATGGCTAGCCGATCTTAGGGATCACGCTTCCACACTAGAAAAAAAAAAAAAGATGGAGCCCTTGCTTGCTTTATTTATATGGGGAAACATCAAAGATTTTCCATGGAATGTTCTTCACCAAATAAGGTAGGACTTGGGCTGACAAGTTTCCAAGGGGTTACACCCAACTCCAGAGCTATGAGAGTGTTCAGAGTGTTCTTCCTAGCAGAGCGGAGATAGAGGTCACCAGCTTTGAGCAATCCATTAGTGGGAGGAGCCACAAAACAGTTTGCAATGCCAAACCTGAATCTCCCTGGCTCAATACAAAGTGAAGACGCTCAAGTAATTCACGGGTGGCTCCCCACACTGGACCACTGAGCCACATCCCCAGCCCTATTTTATATTTTATTTAGAGACAGGTCTTGATGGCTTACTAAGGCCCTCGTTGATTTGCTGAAACCGGCTTTGAACTTGCAATTTTCCTGCCTCAGCCTCCAGAGCCATTGGGATTACAGGCGGGCACCACCGTGCACAGCTCATCCAAGTCTCTTTTAAAATTTTACATTTTACACTTCAAAGTCAATAGTACAGATCCTAGCTATAGTTAATCCTGAAAGCTGGCAAGTGCCAAATTTCAAGGACTAAGTACATTATAAAGGCCTAAAGGAAATAAACTATAACTACAATCCCATATACCTTGTAAAAATAATCTTATTTCTCTTTCTGCTAACCTGAATCTAAATTTTGTGGCTTTCTAGTTATGGAGCTGTTTGTGTCAGAAAAGAAATACTATTGACAAAAATAAATTGCATTTAACTTGGAAATTTATAAGACTTTTCCAAATGCAGGTTAGGGAGACCCTAAAAGAATCTCCCAATAAAAAATAAATAAAATGTCAAAGAAAAATATCTTTTTAAATTCTTCAAGTAGGGGAAAGTAAGAAATACTCAGATCTTCAAACCAAGTGAATGCAGGCACCCTAAGAGGTGAGCAAGGATGAGACTTCCCTGGAGCATTCCTGAGGAACCCTGAAAACACTGAATTTCCACTTTGATGGTTGCAAGCAACACAGGGGAATAGGAAATAAAGGCTATGGCTCAACAAAGGTGAAGAACCTAAACTGGGGCTCTGAAAGTCTACAGCATTGATATAATAGGAAAAAATAAATGTAATCCTATCTCGCTGACAGTGAAAGAAAGAAACTGTCTTGTCTCCAGATGTGCCATGGAGAGAAGGGTGTAAAAAAAAAATCTCTTCTGAAAATACATAATCACAAGGATTATTGACTCTTACAGGGATTAACAGACTGAATTTATACTGCCACTGTGATGGTTAAAAAAATGTTTAAAATGAAAATTTTATTTAGTGGGAAAATCCCCTAAATGTTTGTCAGGAGAAAAGTTAAAGTTAAGGCTTTAAGGATTCCAACAAAGAGCCAAGAAAAAGGAATTAAAGTGAATATCATAAAACACACAGGAAGCAAAGCACTGATTAAGAGATGGCGGAAAAATAGGGGGAAAGGACTAAAAAAGCTTATGTTGGAGTGATAACAGATTAGCTATATCTAAAGAAAGAATTTGCAAATTAGAAGAAAGATACAAAGAAAGTCATAAAATATTCCAGACAGAGATGAAAAATATGAAATAGATGTAGAATATAGACTGAGATCTAATTATCATTCCAGAACAAGCTAATAGAATAAAGAAGAAATAATATTTGGCAAGATAACAATTGTGTGTTAGCTTTCTACTACTGGGATAAAATACCTGAGAAAACCAGCTTAAATAGAGGAAAGGTTTATTTTGGTTCATAGTTTCAGAAGTTTCGGTCCAGTCCAAGGCCAGTTGTCTGTTGTTTTGGGGCCTCTGAGAGCAGAACATCATGGCAAGGAGTGTGATGTAACAAAGCTACTTACCTCATGGTGGCAGGAAAGCAAAGAGAAAGACAAGAAGGGGCAAGGCTCCCCACATCCCCTTCAAGGGTGACCCCAGTGACCTAACTTCCTCCAACCTGGTCCCCCCACTTTAAGATTCCACTATCTCTCAATAGCATGGTGGGCTGGATATCAAGCCTCTAACACAAGAGCCTATGGAGGAACACTCCAGGTCCAAACTGTAGCAGGCTAGGAATCCTTCAGAATTATAAAAAGATGCAGATCCAGAAAGACCAAGTGAAACAAAACAAAACAAGCAGATAAATAAAATAAAAATAAAAAATATACAACTAAATAAAAAGTAAAAAATCCATACAACCACAAACTACCAAGCAATGAAAACACTTCAAAAGCATAGAAAGCGTACACATTACCTGCAAGAGACAGCAAGGCAGCTGGCAACTGACTTTTCAACAGTAACAATGGAAACCTAAAGGTAGCAGAATCCTCCATCAGATGAGCTAAAACAACTAATAATCTATTAGTCTACGGCCCTTTAAAAGTAGGGGGAAATAGAATAATTTTCAGACAAACAAAAACAAAGACTGCCATTGAAAGACCTTCTAAAAGAAGTCTAAACGAAGGATTTAATTGCAAAAGAATTAGTGAACAAAGACATTGGTCATATGTGCACAAAGCATAGAAGTCATTGTTTGTAATAACTGATTGTGCGGATTGTAATGCAATAAAAACCAATAGTAATTATCTGCCTAAACTACTGGTAAGTTTTTTCTAGATGTATAAATAATAATGAAGGGGTCATCAGAATTAAAATATTCTAAGGTGCTTGTAGTTTTTGGAGGGTAAAAATATTGAATAACTGTAAACTTTGACAAATATTCACATTAAAATAATCTGAAAACCACTAAAGTAAAAGACAGAAAACACATTGCTTTCATGTTAGAACATATTTATAAGTCAAATATGAACCAGATGCACATAACTGTAATCCTAGCTCCTTGGGAGGCTGAGGCAGAAGGATTGCAAGTTTGTGGAGAGCCTGGACAATTTAGCAAAACCATATCTCAAAATCAAAATAAGAAGGGTTGGGGGCATTGCTCAGTGTGAATGGTTGCCTAGCATGCAGGAGGCCCTAGGTTCAATCCCCAGCATGAAGAAGGAGGAAGAGGAGAAAAGAGAAGGGGAACAGGAGGAAGACGAGGAGAAGAAATCCTGACTTCCAATGTGATAATATTAGCAAGTGGCATTGATATTATCAGGTCACATGGGTGGGATGGGATTACTGCCCTTATAAAAGAGATCCAGAAGTGCTGGGAATATAGTTTAGTGGTAGAATGCTTGCCTAGCACATGCAAGTCACCAGGAGAGGC